GCTGGACTGTTGTGCGGGAGGTCGAGGGTTCAAGCCCCGGCCGGACCAACACTCAAGGTCTTAAAATGATTGAGAAGAATATGCTACCTTTCTCAAACGTTAACATCAAGAAATGGTTAGATATTCTAGTCTTCTCGGATAGGGACGAATAAATGGAGGTCCCGTCTCCTGCAGGGTTAGGGGCAGGAGACGTTAATTTCCCACGCACGAGATCACTGTGTGATGGATGTCCTCCCCTGGAGTGGGATGGGTGGGAAAATAGCAGGTACACATCAGCTATATAGCTGCCATAAATTCAACCTGCTCAAACAAATAAAAAAAAAAATTAATGAAATAATGAATGAATGAGTTACCAGTATGGCATAGGTTATGTGTGGTGCCTTTTGAGTCGACTTGTGCACCATCAGTTTTCCTTTGTGTATACAGTGTGTAATTACCAAATTTATCTATCTTCTTTTTGTCATTGGTGTTATCAGACGAGATCACGGAATTTCCGTTCGTTGGCCCTTGACTTTAGAAGCAACTGATAGTGCACACACAAGTCGACTCAAAAGGCACACAGATAACTCAAAGGTGGAGGATCGTAAACGTAGCATTTTAAATATAACTTAAAGTCCAGTGTTTACGTGGCAGTTTCGCTTTCGCATAACGGAAATTCCTAGATCTCGATCGTCTGATAACATCAATGACAAAAGGAAGAGAGATAAATCTGGTAATTCGCCTTTGTCACGCAACCGCCATCTTGGATTACGTCAGCAGAAATCTGACACGAAAACGAGGTCACGCGTGGTAAACAAACATGGCATCGTGTCAAACAGATAAAAAAACATTTCAATTTTGGCATAGAAATTTAATAAATATTCCACTTCTTTCAAATGATTCGATCGTAAAATATGCAAAAGATAATCTCCCTGTCCAGGAGACACTTACTTGAAGCTATCAATTTTTTTTAACGAAGAGTTTATTCACGAAATAGAAGGTAGTGTAGTATCCCGCCCGGATGGTTCGGATCTAACCAATAACACTCGGATTAAACCAACGCACATTAACTTAACAGTTTAATGGTGGACAACGTGTTCTAACAACAACTCTCGCACGCATGCACCAATGGGTAATACACTACAGGTAGGTTTCTAGCTTCCAGAGTTTGTTGCAGTCGGAGTGACATCCGTCTTTATAGTTTTGTTCTTGCATTAGTCCGACTATGAATTAAGTTGATATATTCAAATAATAATTGCAGTGAAAATGGTCAAAGATGCTGATTTAAAGGGCCTGTAAACCCAAAAATCGTACATTTTCTTTTCACACAGCTGTTTAGCAAATATATCAAGTACTTGAAATGTGCAATTCATTTTTTCTCAAAAGTCCATTTTCACCTTGAAAAAGCTCTTCCAAATTCGAAACATTCGCCATCTTGAATTGCGCCATCTTTCCTGTGACGTCACGGGTGGAACCTTTCTGTACTGAGGTCAAAAGCTTTCTTTTACGATCGCTTGAGATTTGTGCAAGTCTCCTTCGCAGCCCCTGTTTGCCGGTCTAGACACGATTTTTTAAATTATAATATGGTTGATTATATTAAAATTTTTCGTAATGGTAAAGCACTGTGTAGTCCAGTTTTTGTAGTAATTCAAACAAAACCGGGCATACAATGCATAAATTTCCAAAAGAAGCAAATTTAAGCGACAATGGGTTAAATTTGTTCAAGTTAAAAGAGCCGATTTTGACGAGCTGTCCGAACATTTTGTTGTCTGTAGCAGCCATTTGTCTCCCAATTGCTACCAGAAAAGCTATATGGTCGAAATGGGTCTTAAAAAGCTAGCAAAAGCTACTTCTTCCTGTTGCAGCGCTGACGATTCAGGCCCTACCAGAAAAAAGTTCTTCCGAGGTAAAAATGCTACCTCTGCATTCAGCAGACAGCGAAGATCCAGAGGTCACTGATGTTACAAGGATCGGAATTGTCTAGAAAGTTCGCAAAGGTCAATGTCACGCAATGTGTTGTTTCAAGAATTTTCTAGAACTGTGACTCATCAATTTAAAAATAGAGTTTATTGTAATAGTTATAAATAGTTACTATTGTAATGGTTATAAATAGTTACTTTTGGAAACTTCTAGACTCTCTTCGGATGCTTATATAAGCAGCTCGCTAGTCAGGTTGTTGTTGTGATTTGGGACTTCGTTCCCTGTTTGTGATCTACAAGCGATATTGTGTGACAAGTGACAAGTGAAGGGATTTTCCCGTTCGGATGTGATACTGACATTCTGCTGTCAAGTCCAGAGTNTTGTCTAGAAAGTTCGCAAAGGTCAATGTCACGCAATGTGTTGTTTCAAGAATTTTCTAGAACTGTGACTCATCAATTTAAAAATAGAGTTTATTGTAATAGTTATAAATAGTTACTATTGTAATGGTTATAAATAGTTACTTTTGGAAACTTCTAGACTCTCTTCGGATGCTTATATAAGCAGCTCATACATACATACATACATACATAAACTTTATTTATCCTCGGATTTTAGATTAGCTTATAAGCTAGTATCTCCGATCCTAATTACTACTTTAAAATTACAGCAAGAACAGGTTAAAAGATAAAAATAATTCATAATATAATAATGTAATAATCGTTAATATAATAATATGTGATATAAATGTAATATTAACAGAAATTGTGCGCTGACAGTTTGCTCTTAAATTCGCTATAGTCTACAGTTTTCCTAAAGTGGTCAGGGAGGGAGTTCCAATACTTAACAGATGAATAGCTCAAAGAATTTAGACCATATGTGGTTGTAAACGGCTTAGGAAGTGATAAAATATTCGTGCCCCTTAGGGAGTAAGCAGAAGATCTTAGCTTGATTAGTTGTTTCAGATAGCACGGATATTTACCAAGATGGAGACAGTTGAATATACAAATCATCATATTTTGTATCCTCCTGTTGGCTAAACTACACACACCTGCCTTGTCTAAAAGATCATCGTAGTTCGAGTCCCAGTCTTTTAAAACAAATCTTAAAATACGTCTATTTAAGGTGTCCAGTTTAACAGAGTCCTCTGAGTTACAAAAGTGCCATATCATTGAACAGTAGTGAAAATGGGGTAACATAAAGCTCGCTAAACAGGTTGTTGTTGTGATTTGGGACTTCGTTCCCTGTTTGTGATCTACAAGCGATATTGTGTGACAAGTGACAAGTGAAGGGATTTTCCCGTTCGGATGTGATACTGATATTCTGCTGTCAAGTCCAGAGCTGTTTAACGTGGAGTGCGATACGTCGAAGGAAGTCTTCAGGAGATTTCGCCAAAGAGAAGGACAGTACTTTGCTTGTGGTCAGATAAGCGTAGATAAGTACATAGTTAATTTTAGTTGGATTGTTCCAAGAGTGGTCGCTAGCTCGTGTTAAGTTACCTCCCGTTGTTTACAGTTCAATAACTTGTGTTTCGTGGAAATAGCGAGGTTATTATCTTTCTGCCGGTAATCAGTTACCGTAACACTGACCGTACTGAGAAACCACCGAGGAGAAGTAGAGCTCTTCAAAAGTTGGAAGTTAACAGGGGAAGTACCGAACTGATTTACGCGGAAACCTCCAGATTTTAGGTTCTCTTAAAACACCTTTGTTTCTCAGCTGTTAAAAGATTATGGGGAAACCAGTTGTTCGGAAGCCAGTGATGCGCCCAAAAAAGACACTAACCTGTTTGAACCTTTGCTGGAAACCGAAACACATATCAATAAAAAATTCGTTGATGTCGGTATAAAATGCGATCTGGAATTTAGTTGGTTAAATATTTCACGAACATCTACGGCGAGTGTGGGAGAGACAAAAATCTGTCAAAAGAAATCTTCGAGAGAATCTTTGCCAGCTCCGCTTGCTGCTTTCTTTGAGAAACCCTGCAAAGAAGTAGCAGTTGGAGAATTTGTGTCACAGCTTACACAGCGGTGAATTTGTAATCAAAGGTCATTAGAAAAACATTTTTTTACTTTGAATAAAAATTAAAAGATCCAGAGTTTAGCTTGCGAAACTATTTCTCTATATTTCCAATCGAAGGAAACACAAAAAGGTTCGATAATTATATATATACAGGCCACACTCGCAAAACTTTACATTACAACTTGTTTATCAATAATAATAGTTCGGAGATGAAGGAAAGCACTATATAAATATTTCCTATGGAACAGGCACAACTGCTAGTGGTGTTCGACATTAATAATTATGATCCGCATTTACATCTACCTTTGTTTCTGTCAAAGGTTTGGCGATTTTAATCCAGTGTAAGAAGTTCCAAAATCAGCTGGAAAAGTGCTTCGGATTTTATTTACCGCACTAGATGGCACAGCGACCCTGACAATTTTGCCGAGATAATCCCAGCACCACCGAGCCAGCTGTCTGTAGGCAATGTAGCGAAATATCCTCCCAGAAGCGAGAAAAATAACTAGCTCTAGCACTGTGTTATTTAGTCAATAGCACAAACAACTCCAGCAAATCGATCTAAAAATCAGATTAAAATAAAACATTTCGCTTACTCGTTTTGGGTGTGATTATCTGCACCGTATTGCTGCCTGTACGCGTAATAGGCCGTCTCCAGCACCCAGACATCGAGGCAGGTTGACTGAAAACCTGGATACTCAGTAATACAAGTCATTTGGGTTTCAGGCCTTTGTTCCTCCACCTTTTGCCACACTTGCCCGATTTCCGCACAACAAACACTTTCATGTGTTGTCGGCATTGGCTGACAAGTTCCACACTCGCACCTTTGACAATTTTATATAAAACACCCACGGACGCTCAAGTTAAAAAACTTCTGTTGCATTCTTTTAGATTGGAAACTTGCTTTATTAAGTTTTCATGTA